TTTGTGGGACTGAAAATGTTATTGTCTCTTCCTTCTAGGCCAATATAGTGAATTTTAAAGCTTTATTGATAGTAAATTTAGTGATTGAAAGTTTAGTAATTTAAGTCATTCTAACTATTTTTCGTTTTGAATGGATTGTTGTCACTTTTATCACATTTTAAATGAATTGTCTTTTATTTTTGTGTATGGTTAATAACCGAATAACCTAACCAAACCAAACCGAAACCGATAATCACCAAACCGATAAATGTATATTATATTTGGTTTGGTTTGGTTTTGATAATTTTAAAACCGATTAAGTTGGTTTGGTTTTGGTTTTGGTTTTGACCAATAACCGATCCAAACTAACCCGTGAACACCCCTACTCAACACGATTAGTTGAAAAACATAAGAGTTTTACCAGACATGCAAACATAACAAATAAACATAGAAATAGTCATCGGAGCAGATCTCCACTAAATTAAAACACATTATTTTGCATACGTCTAGACGCATAAGTAATAACTAAGAACATGGTGGAGCTAGCTAGGTACTCCGATTTGTTGTCCTTCAAAGGGGTAATATGGTTCACTTGGAGTAATGGCAATGGTTTTTGGAACCCACACTAGACTATATGATGGGTAAAAGTGACAGACAGGTAATATACCGAGCACTCGAAAGGATACATGTGATGGACTCCAATCAGAGGTATCCGAATGACAAGCAGCAATTGCTTCCATTTGCATCATTCCTTAATGAATACCTTGCTTTTGCTAACTGTGTTATGTCAGTAGTAAACGCTAGGCATGGTGAATGATGGGATGATGAATGCATATGTTTGTTCTGTTTATATTTAAACAGAATTTGTGGATGGAAGTCTTCAACACCGTCTTTATAATTAAATACGAAGTCAGAATTCTGTTCCGGAGCTTGCTGGCGATTGTCTTCAGCCATATCCCTAGCTTCTGTTCCATAAGTAACCTGCCATATTATGAAGTGAGCAACATATATTTATAATTAATCACTACTAATTGTATTAACTAAGATGGAGGTGATTATTAAAATTACCAGCAGAATTAGGGAGACAAGTACACAAAAACCAAGCTTAACATCCATTGTTCTTCTCTTGAGTTTTTAAGAAATTCTACTCAAATAAGAGGTATATATATATACTACTAGGAGAGAAGTAAACTCACTAACGATAAAGAATCAAAATTATTACTCCACTATTTTCAATTTACGTGGTAATGTTTAATTCGACACAAAATTTAAGAAAAAAAAAATTAAAAATATTTAGTCTAAATAAGAGTGCTTGACTTATAAGCTAAAAATCATAAGTTAGAATTTATTTTTGTCTTATTTTTGTTATTTTGACTTAAAAATAAGTGTTTATAAACATTTTTTTAAATTTTTACTTAAACAATACAAAACTGTTTAAAAGCTATTCTAACTTAAAAATACCTAAAATAAGTCAATTTCAATACGCTCTAAGTCATATTTGTTTGTGTGACTAAAATAATCTCATTAAGGATCAAATTCGCATTTTAAAATTAAACTATTACTCCTTTTGTCCCATTTTATCTGAGTTAGTTTGATTTGACACGGATTTTAAGATTTTTTTTTTTTAAAATGTGTCTAAAATAAGTGAGAGATATTAGTATAGCTATAAATCATTTCATTAATGGTAAAATAAGTATTTTAAGATTAAATTGTTACTTAATATAGAAGTGTGTTATTCTTTCATAGACTGACTCAAAAAGAAAGTGAGTCATATAAATTGGAACATTGAGATTATTATTAAATATAGAAATGTAACTTTTTTTAGTGGACTTAGCCATCTCCAATTTCACTCTATTTTACTCTCCATTCTCTATATTTGGAGAGCAAAATAGAGAATTGAGTCTCCATTCAATCGCCCTCTAAAAAACTCTCTATTTTCTATTTATATGGAGAACTACTATTCATCCTCTCTATTTTACTTTTTCATTAATTTAATATTATTTCTATTATTTGTAACTAACATATTATTTTTTCATATAAAACTTTTAATTAAATTCCTAATATTCATAATTCTTTTTAAATGTAATACAACATTTTAAATATATATTATTTAATATATACTACTTTCATCCCGAATTAACAATATTTCAAAAACAAATTCAATTTTCATCTCTTTAAGAGATAATTTGAGATTATTATTGATTTTCACTATGAAGAATGCACAAAATTTAAATGATAAGATGGAAATTTTACTTTACAAATACAATACACGACAATAATAAATTTAAATACAAAATAACAATACAATACATAACATAATAATTTTAAAAATGACAACAATAATTATATAATCCCGGTAGGTCGTCTTCAAATTTAACAATATTCGGGGAAAAATAGTGTATGATCTAGAAAATTGTTGTGCTTGTGATTGTGGTTGTGCTTGTTTATTTCTTTCTTTCAACTATTTGTAGTTGTTCTTTAAAATATTAGAATAAAATATAATTTTATATTAAATAAAAAATTTGAAAAGTAATAATTTTATATTACATGAAAATTATACATAGTGATTATTTTGAGAAAAAAAAAGAACGGATTTATATTATGAAATAAGAAAATGAAATAGAAATATAAATAATACTCCATATAATATTGAGGAGAAGATAAGAAAAAATCTTTTCAGAGAGTAAAATAGAGAATTTGGTTGAAGTTGATTGTCTGAAAAATAAATAATTCTATAGTTGGAGAGTAAAATAGAGAATTGAATTAAAGTTGATTGTCTAAACAAATAAAGAACTGTATTTTTAGAGAGTAAAATAGAGTGTAAAATTGAAGATGGCTTCACAAATTTTTTACTGTAACCATGTGGACTGTGGTGTTGTACAATCATTGTTTGTACAAATAATTGAGAAGCATTATTGTACCCATGCACATAGCAAAAGGCATCAACTAGTTACCACGTTTAACTCGTTTAAATGGTGACGGTAAAATAAAAAATAGATATTTATGTGGTTATAAATTATTTCATTAATGGTAAAATATAATTTTTAAGTCAGACAACCTAAAAAAAAGAAATTAGTCATATAAATTAGAACCAGAAAATAGTAGACTGACAAAGATTTTACCGTAACCATGTGGAATGTGGTGTTGTACTATCACTATCTGCACAAACAATTGAGAAGCATATTGTACTCTCATAGCAAAAGGCATCCACTAGTTACCACTTTTAACTAGTTTAAATAGAAAAGGATAAAAAGTTTTTTTTATTATCGCAAAAGGTCTAAATATAATCTCATAGATTTATTTTGTTAAAAATACGGATGAGTAGAGATGGCAATGAAGCGTTGCAGGGTGGATTGAGCTTAACCCGCAAAATTATTAATTCGTCCGGCTTCACATTCTGCATAACAATTTTTTTCATTTTCAACCCACTCCATCCCGTCTCGCATAATTTTTTAAACATTTTCTTTTTTAAATGAAGTTTGATACTAAAAATGAAATTCATAAAATTAAATTCATTTTCTCATTAAGTTGTATTAATTTAATAGATAATGACTTAAAATTTTATTTTATAGAGGTCAATTGTGAAGCATGTTATAAACCATATTAGTTTTGATTGAACCATTTCCATTTACTATGTGAAATATTTTAGTAACTTCAAAGAAATTATCTTATTAAATAACGTTCTATTATTTTTATACAATGTAGAAATAAAATTATGTTTAAATCCACATAAAATCACATAGACCCGCAACCCTCCCGCCCAACATTAGATTTTAGAAAACTCACCTCAACTTGCCCCGCCCTGCATAAGTTTTTAAAAGACCCACTTCAACTTGTTCCGCATCCCATCCGCCGCCCGCACAAACTTAAAACTCCTCCGCCTCGCATAGCTTTAAACCTGCTCCGTGCCACATTCGCCTCGCACTATTGTCATCCCTACGGATCAGGTTGCATTTTTTGTTTACTTGCCCATTGACTAGCGCTCAACATTGAATTAAAAAAAAATGTTTTGATTTCATACGGTATTTTATTATTGGTCCAATTTTAAACTCTGACTTGTTAAATAAATTTACCCACCCAATATTTCAACTTACCCTACCCAAATATTAGAGAAGATTGGTGTTGTGCCCATCAATATAATTTAATTTAGTCCATTGACACCCTATTTCTTTTTTATTTATTTTGTAGGGCTACTTTAAGAAAAAGTTAAAAAGTGGGGTTGGCTTGTGGGGTCAGGACCTTTTTAACACTTTAAAAATTTGGGGGATAAAATACAAGTTTTAAAAAATCATTTTCTTCCCAACACTTCAAATATTAAATAAATTTAATCCCTCTAAAAATATAGTACAATCCCAATATAATTTTTTTAATATATTGGGTTATCAGAAAACCATTTTTCCGATGAAACCTCACAACTTTGTTCTCTAATGTGGCTTTTGATCTTCCATATACCAACTTTATCGATATCGTAATAAACACCTTTCTCTAAGAACCAACCTTTTCAGTTTTCTATTCTTGAAATCATAAACAAACGTAAGTTCCCATAATAGTTCTTGAAGATTTCAAACGAAGTGAATCGGGTCTATTTTGTTCAATCTTCTTCCCCAAGTTCAGTTGAATCTTGTTCAATCTTCTTCCTCCAGGTAAGTTTAATCGTATTTTCAGTAACTTTTAGTCCTATTTGATTTATTTTTTAATTGTGGTAGTGTAGTGAAGTTTAGATTTTTGCTTAAACTTTTAAAATCTGACCCTTTTTAGTTTATGTTTCTGATTCGGCATCGTTAATGTCGTTTTGGTTTGGATAATGCATATAAATTTTTTAAAATTTTTATATTAGCGATTTGAAAACGTTTACTGTATTTTGATCGATTTTAAAGTTTTATATTTGTGATTTTACTGTCGATTTTTGTTTGAACTGCTACTTCTTTTGCATGTGTTTTTAATGTAAGCTTTGATTGTGCTAATAGACTAGTGATCGATATTTTGATATAACAAATTTATTTTTGCTTGTCTATAGTACAGTATGACTAAAACTAGAGGCGGCATCATTAAGCGATCTAGTCCTAATGCTTCTAAAAACAAGAAAAGAAAGGCTGAAGAAGTTTCAAAAGCTTTAAAAAAGAAAAAAAATGTTGTGGAAGAACATGAGTCAAACTCTGATTCTGATACAATGGCCGAGATTGACAATTACCAGGACAGTAGTGCCCAGTCTAGTGATGATGCTGAATCTAGTAATGATAAAAGTGACAGTGAAGATGAGAGTAGTAGAGATACCCAAACAGGTGATGAGGATGAAGATCCCCTGTCTTTGCCAATTTGTGCAAGAGACATTTCTAGTAAGTCGTATGATTTAAAGACATGGATAGATGAGATAGGAACGTTTCCAGCAAAAATTTCGGTTAGAGCAAGAATGGCTAGCTCTTTATCGTGATTTAATAAATCTTCTAGTTCAAGAAAAAATTTATGAAGATTTTAAAGGTACTTGTTTTGGACACTTGAGGCATATTCCATAACATTTCAAGTTCAATGGACATATGGTCCATTATATGTTGTTGCGACGTGTGAAAAGTGACAAAAAATTATATGAAATTTGGTTCTGTGTGAATGATAAGCCTACTTATTTTAGCTTAAGAGAATTTGCATTGATTACGGGACTGAATTGCTCAACATACCCTCGTGATGCAAAATTGAAAAAAGTTCTTCAAAAGGGAGAGAAATTTTACTACAAGGTGACTAAAAATAAGAACATTACTGCGACAAAGTTGATGCGTTTGATCAAGGGTTCCAAGTTGAACAAGGAGCAGAAGTTGAAGTGCTCTTTGGTTTTGTTTGTCCACACGATGCTGCTTGCCCATGATCGATCTAAAATTGTGGATGCAATCCACATTAAGATGGTGGATGATTTAGATTTCTTCAATAGCTATCCGTGGGGAAAGAGAGTTTTAATTAACATTGACGTTTCTGAAGAATAAAATCAATTTGAAGAAGCAGAGTGAGTGTTTAACGAAATAGGAAATGCATCGTATGCTATGTATGGCTTTCCCTGGGCATTTCTGGTACTTCTTATAAATTATGTAGTTGATTTATGATAAATTCTTATATATTTGTGTAGTATTTTATAGCCTCTGTTTATTTATTTGTTCTTCTATTAATTTCAAGTTTGGATATATGAGGCTCTTCCTCATCTTGGAAAGTAAGCCAAGAAGTCCTTAGATTCTCCTTTGCTTATTCCCCATTTACTTAGATGGCACACCGCAAAAAATGATTATATTAGCGAAGGTGGTCCATTTAAGTACAAAGAAAAAAGTACAAAGGTACAAAGTTATTTATTATTATTTAGCAATATTTATAAATTGGTGAATGTTATGTAATATTTGTATATATTATTTTTCGTAGGTTGTGCACCCATACCTCACACCTACTGTCCGTGAGACAAAAAAGAATTACTTGGCAACATTAAAATCATATATGGACGAAGTGAAAGATACATTCTTCAATGCCTTAAAGGCAAATTTGAAAGGTGTGACTGTCCTTACTTCAATAATAGAAAATGTGGAGGATGAGTATTTAAGTGATCGATCACAATCATAATCAACCTTGTGAGAATTCTGTATCAAGTACTTCTAAAGATGAAAATATGTCTGAGCGTGTTTTATCCTTCGAGCAATCAATGGTGGAAATTGTTGCTTATGTACGAGAGTAGAAATTGAGAAGAACTGAAAAGAACAAGAAAAAGAAAGGAAGATAAATTTATATATTATTTCTGTAAAATAATTTATTTGTATTAATGCTTAGCCACTGATCTTGCAGTAGATGATGCCAACTTTTCAGCACCAACAGTTGATGACGAGATTCTTTCATTAACTATAGTCGATTATATCTTGCTGCAGTTGATGAATACTTTGTTGAAGAAGTTGATGAAGTTGTAGAAAAGATTAAGGAAGAGGAGATGAAAGAAGAAGAAAAAGAACAAGTTGATGAGAAGATGACAGAAAAAAAAGGAGAAGCTGGAGGAGAATGATGAAAAAAAATAAGAGGAGAAGCTAGAAGAAAAGAAAGAAGAAGAAAGTGAAAAGAAGAAGCTGGAAGAGAAGAAAAATGAAGAAAATGAAGCAAGTGGAGAAGAAGAGAAAGAACAACAAGAGGAGAAGATAACAAAGAATGAAGAAAAGGAAAAATTGGAAGAAGAAGGCTTGGCCACTGATGTGGCAGAAGTGGAAAAAGAAGTTGACGTGATGGGTATTGTGATGGAGCTTAATGGTGAGGTTGGTGGTGATGAGTAAGATATTTGTGGTTATTGATGTTTTAAGAGAGTTTTTGAAATAATTGGTTTTTGAAGACAATTGATTCATGTGATAGTTGGGGTTTTCCTGGTTGTGAAGACAATTACTTTTTGAGATAGTTTTTTAAGACAATTAGTTTTTGAAATAGTTGATTTTTAAGAACATGGTTAAAGTGGTTTGTTGTTTTGCTGTTTTTGACGAGAAAAATGTACATCTGATAGTTTAACATGTAATGATTTTTAGATTTCTTATTAATCTATGTTTTAATAGTATGTGATTTTTGCTATCACTGTTGATCTATTTAGTACTCAATTACCGCCATTAAAATTGTATGTCTAATACTATAGATTGCTATCACTGTTGAACTATAACATTATCGATCAAAAATAAAAGAGATAAGAGTGCAATAAATAGAGAAATACTTTATTTACTCAGCACTACATCCTGTTACACATTTGTTACACATTTTCAAAAAGAAAACACCAAAAATAAATCACACGATATAATTTTTAGGCGTTTTTCTTTTTCTTCTGGCAAAATCAACCTTTCTTTTAGTTTATCTCTATTTATTTCAACATCTTTTAGCAACACTTTCAAGTGATTCCTCTGCTCTTCGGCTTCTTTTAAGAAAGTCATTAGCAGATCCCTATTTTCTTCGAATTTTCGTAGCTTTTTTAATATTTCAAATTTGGTGCGCAACGCCTTGAAAATTTGATGGGCTACTCGTTGATGATTCATTTTCAAGCCACCTAAAAAAAGAGCATATTCCAACTACACAATTAAAGAATTATTGATCTGAATTTGTATCGGTGTGTGATGTCCTCAACGTAGCTGGATTACCACAATGGCAATTGTAAGACTTTTTTGCATTGGATGTTTCAGATGCTTGAGACATTGTAAAAATAGAGGTGTTTGAGTTGTTTATGAGGGTTTGAGTTGTTTATAAGGGATTGCCTTCCTTTTATACAATAAAATAATCAAATGTTACCGTTGAAAAGTAGTATTTGAACTTTTATTACCGTTGTAAAATTTGTATATCGAAATGTTTACTGGTTGTCAAAATATATAAACCCCTTATACAATCGATGCATCTTTATGTGTGTGGTGTATGTATGATCAATGAGATTTACACTCTGACATTAGTAAGATATATTCGAATTTATATCTATGTTAAAGTATTGTCGATACTGCACCTACTAGAATATGACACATATATAGACTAAAACTAGTAAAATTTAAAAAAGACAATAATTAATTAATAATAAATTATATTTTTGAAATTTATCCAATTAAATAAGTTTAAACAAGTCATATGATCATGTAAGAGTCCACATAAATTGGGTGTGGTGATTAGAGATGTATGAGGAAGAGTTGTGGTTATACAATCAATTACATCCTTAGAACAATGTTTGAGAAAGCATAAGTATGTTGTAAGGATGTCACTTTAGTAACAATTGAACTAAAGTCATTATATTTAAAGTCATTAAAATCTTTTGTGGCATTTATATAGAGTAATGTTAATTATAAATACAAATTTATCATAAAATCCTGTAATTGTAGTGCATAACGAAAGATTATGTAATATTTTACTTTCTGTTGATATTACAATCCTCATGTGTTGTAGTTGTAGACTTGTAGTGGGGGTAGGATTATTTTATTTGTTGGTTGGAACTTTATTAATGCATTGCCCATGTGAAATGATTATTTACTTTATTTGTTGGCACTCTAATAGTGATTTTTCACCAAACATTAAACCCTACTTCCATTTTTCATATTCCTTATTCTCACATCACTACCACAACTCTACATGTATCTAAACACTGAAAATCATATTTTTAAGCATTGATAACATTATATTTCAAATAAGTTTTATTTCTATATCAGACTAACATTTTTTATTTTTTTTTGGGGTGGGGAAGGGGGGAGTGGTGGTGGTGGTTTATATATCATTTCTCAGCTTGATGTTTTAAGACTTGAATAGAATATAAAAAATTTATGATAAATAGTAATTAAGACAAACAAATTGAATTAGATGAAGTATATGAATTTGACTTAGATTAGACATACATGAATTTGTTTGTTTCTAATAACAATCCGAAAGATGGATATTTTAATTTCAAAATGACAATAAAATATGTTAAAAAGCGTATAGTCAACCAAAGAGTTTTTTTTTTCACCTAGAAGAAATAGGAGATTTTAATTAATTATTTTTTTACCAGAAAAACACAATTAAAAAAAGGCATCTTCATGTTTTTATTGATCAAGTGGGCCAGTGGAATATGTATAATCATGTGCACGCCATCTTACTATTTTTGAAAATGCTAACCACATGGTCCTCTACTGTATTTTATTTTATTTTATTTTTTAAATAAGTATTTAAATTGTATATACCAAACATCTAATATAAATCTCAATTGAGCCTTGTGCAAAAACTACCAAAAAGAAAAAAGATGGCTGAAGATATGAAGAATGAAATTCAAGATCTGTTGACTAAACCTATTACTCCAAGTGAAGAACCTGCTAAAGGTATGTAACAATAAAAATCTATATATTTTGTATATATAAATGATAAGCACTATGTTGTTTCTTGATTTTCATGATTGATATTACCACAGATCGATGGGGGTTATTGTATGAATGAAATTTTTTTATTCTAATAAATCAGAGATCTTGTCCTGTTTTGAACCTCAAAATTAAATAATTTTGCAAAAATAGCATCAAATGTTGCCTTTTTAATCTTGTTTTAAAAAAAATATAAAATCTCATGATAACTAGAGTTTCACTTGTAGAAATTGAAATTTCAGAACTTTTATTTGGCTATTTATTAAATTACAACAAGTGAAAAATAGTTATTAGTCACTTTTTGGGTGGAAAAAAAAAACCTTTGTAGGTAGCTCTTGTTCCTTAAATGAACCGTCTAGGCTCTAAGACACAATTTGGACTAATCATACAATTTTGAGTCCCAATTTTTTTTTTTTTAAAAAAAAAACAAAAAGCATCAAATGCCACTTTTTCAACCTTGTATTTTTTTAAAAAAAATAATTGTTTTAGAATTTCAATTTCTATGATGTTTCTTGATTTTCATGATTCATATTACCGCAAATTGATGGATGTTGTTGGATCAATGAAATTTTTCTATTCTAATAAAATTGCCCTTGTCCTAGAGTTTAAATTTGAAACTCCAAAATTTTGACCAAAAATAAAATTCATATAACTCATTTTTCTTAAATTAACCCTCTAACATACAAATTTGAACTCTAATCAAACCAGTAAATTTTGAATATCAGATAATTTTTTTAAAAAAATTGCAAAATAATGTGAAAATAAATATATGTTGTCATTTTTTGCCAGAATCATCAGAAAAAGAACAAGGACAAGGGCTAGTAGTTACAAATGATGAACAAGATGAAGCAAAAGAAGTAGAAGATGAGAAGTTGGTGCATGCAGTTGAAAGAGCAAAACAGCCAACACCTCCTGGCAAACGACCTGGCCCTACTATTGGTTGAAATAATATAATTATAAATACAACTTTCGAAAATTCTAGCCGCCTCTGTCCTTACAGTTAAGTGGCTGAACTTTCTTACTTATACGATAAGATGCTTACTTAGTATTGAAATTGAGTTGGCAGAAATTACTATTGTTGTTCATGTAATCATGTCTTGGTTCCTTTTTAATTTTCTTTGTGTGTTATCTTATTTTCACTTTTAGTTTACTTTATCAATATGATGTGGAAAAATGTGTAATAATACAACTTGTGTGTTGGCTTATATCTAAAGGAAGGGCCCGACTTTGCTTTTCGGTCAGTTTTAAAGGTCGGTTTGGATGAGCGTGGGTGTGGTTATTTGACAGATTCAAAATTTTAAATTTTATGTTTATTATATGTATATTTATTCTGTTTCATTTTATTCGATAATAATACTAATTTAAAATTTACTTGTCCATTTTAAAAATTTGAGAGAAATTTATCATTTTCTTTCAATATTATTCTTATCATTAATTAACTTCATAAGTACAATAAACCTCTAATGAATACTTTCTCAAAGGAATTAAGTACTGTTAAACCAATATCGGTCAAATAAAATAAAATGAAGGATATCATCATTTAAATTTCTCAATAAATATATAGAGATTGGATCAAATTATATTATTGTATTTGTCGAACTCATTTTACTAATGTTAGCTCTGCTCTTGATCATCAGTTGATGAGATTAACTAAGTTAGAGTCTGTTTGGATAAGCTTATAACTTATGATCTTATAAATCAAAAGTCATAAGCTGGAAATTCTAACTTCTGATTTTGACCTATTTTTGTTATTTTGTAAAAATCATGTGCTTAATTAAAATTTTTTTTATCTTACACAAACATTGTAATAATCAGTTTGAACAAACTTCTAAAAGCATTTAATTTTGAAAAATGTTTTCCAAAAGTAAAAATAAAAATAAAATTAGTGAGAACACAAAAAACAGTCTATGGTTGATCAATAAATTTAAAAAATACTGCTGAGCACTTTCTAAAACTGTTTCTTAATGTATTTACTGAAAATTGGTTTTTAGAAAAGTTCTTTTAGTGAAAAACTACTTTTGTAGCTTTTGAAAACCAGCTTCTGATACTTAGAAAAATACTTACTCCCTCCGTTTAAAAAAGAATGATCTAGTTTCCTTTTTAGTCTATTTAAAAAAGAATGACGACCCCTTTTTTTGGCAACATTTTAACTTCAACTTTTCACGTGGCATGTTTA